TTTTTTTTCGGTCCTGGACTCGTAGCTGGGAATCGAAGCTTTCTGCAGCGACTACTCAACATCATAATAAATTCGACAAAATGGCCAAACGCAAGAGACAAGCTATCGCTCAAAACGAGCCCGCTTCTGAGCCTTCGATCAAGAAGAAGGCAAAGGGTGCTCAAGTTCTTAAGGAAAAGCCTGTGAAGGCAAAGACTTCAGCGTTGAAGAAGTCTACTACTACCTCGAAACCTTCGAATGCGCCCGAGACTATCCAGATCGTTGTCGGCTCCTACGACCGAATTCTTCACGGGTTGACAGTGACGGTTGGAGGAAAGGAGAAGGCTGAATTCGCCGACACATTCCTCTTCAATGCTCATACCTCGGCGATTCGCTGCGTCGCTGCGTCGCCCATTTCAGCGCCCGTTCCTGGACAGACACAAAAGGTCATGCTTGCCTCTGGCAGCACTGATGAGCGGGTAAACGTTTACAACTTGTCGGCGCATCCCCCCAGCCGAAAGAACCAGGAGATCCTGGCCAAGGTCGCTCCCCGGCCAATTCTCGAGAACCCCAAGAACCGAGAGGTTGGCACGCTGCTTCATCACTCTTCGACTGTGACATCGCTATGTTTCCCTACACGCTCAAAGCTACTATCATCGAGCGAAGACTCTACAATTGCGGTCACACGAACACGAGATTGGTCTTTACTTAGCAACATCAAGGCACCTATTCCTAAGCCCCAAGGCCGTCCAAGCGGCGACACAGCGCCTTTCGGTGGTACACCTTCTGGCGTCAACGATTTTGCCATCCACCCCAGTATGAAGCTTATGATTAGCGTCAGCAAGGGTGAGCGATCAATGCGACTGTGGAACTTGGTCACTGGAAAGAAGGCTGGAGTGTTGAACTTTAGCAAAGACATGCTGCAGGAGGCTGGCGAAGGAAAGCATTCTACTGGAGAGGGCCGAAGAGTTGTTTGGGGAAGCGTTGATGGAGCAGATGAATTCGCGGTTGGATTTGACCGGGATATTGTTGCATTTGGCATGGACAGTGTGCCCAAATGCAGGATTATGGGACCAATTCGAACAAAGGTGCACCAGTTCTTCTACGTTGCACTGGACAAGGAAGGGGATGCGACACTATTGGCGGTTGCTACGGAGGACGGCCGCATCCTGTTCTTCTCGACCAAGGAATCGGACCTTACACAGCCGGAGTCGGAGGACAAGAAGCTCCCGACAGCCAAGCTGATGGGTCAAATCGGCGGAAAAGCCGGCGGAGTTGAGGGCCGAATTAAGGACTTTGTGGTGGTGCCGAGTGCGGAGGACGACTCGACGCTGTACGTAGCTGGCGGGAGCAGCGACGGACGGGTCCGCGTTTGGCGGGTGGGCGTACCGGAGCTGCAGGATAGCGACAAGGTAGAGGAGGGCAAGGGAGAGTTGTTGGGGACGTATGAGACGCAAAACAGAATCACATGCATGACGGCGTTTATGATGATACCCCGGCCAGAGGGAGTTGAGGAGAGTGAGGATGAGCTGGAAGATGAAGAGGAAGATGAGAGTGATAGCGATGAAGAGTAAATATCGGGGTGTTAAAAATGTATGCATGTTATTGGTTGGATATTTGCGTTTGTTGTGATATACAGTAGTAGCTAGCAATCTATAAACTAATGTGAGATATGCATGAATTGGAGGTGGTGATGTGAGTGAGCGTCAGTTGTTTTATGTGCCCAGAATCACATGCAAATCGAACCAAGCATGCCATTGAACTCGCCACAGTCACTGAGTTTACGCCAGCGTCAGACCGGTCAAGAAAATACCACCTACAGTACATGATTATGTGTGTAGAGTTGCAGTGCAGTATCAACAGTTGAATCGCACCGCAGATTTCCCTTTTGGACTCTTGGGTCACAGCTCAGGGACCCAGGGGATGGCTGATCTTGTACTGGACTGGAGTTAATGGATGTGCTTGAATCACGAGGGGGTCACAAATGCAAGTCAAAGCAGAACTACCTTAGTCTGACCAACCACGGAGTCTCGAATTCAAGCTTGAGGCGTTTTGAATGTGGGGTAATAGACGGGATTGGATGGAGGATGACGATCAAGAATGTCAACAACAGCACTAGCTTAGATGTTGAAGAGTAAGGTAGATACTTAATGTCTAGAGTTCATCTTTACAATGGACAATGGATAATATTATCAAGTTATAGAGTATCAAGTTCATCACTATTGACGGGACTCTTCATCATCAGTGACATTGGATTTCTACAGAACCAGGCGGGGGCAGCAAGGGACTCACCCACCTAAAAGATACAGGGGTCCAGGGCCCTCAACAGCTGCTGATGCTGCAGGTAAATGGGGCACATCTACGTAATTCCTGGGGCCCTTAGTCGTGAAACTGCCTGTCCCTTGGTCTTGTGAGCATGTGAAGAGACCTCGTTCAGCTCATTCGTTTCCCTTTTCAGTTGAGGCTAAGTTTACGTGCCGTCTCTGTTTTCTTTTCTTTTCTTTTTCCTCTCTCTCACTCCCTCACTGCTCTTATTATTGCTCTCTTACTCAGGTACTATACTCTCTCTATTTTTGGGTCTCAGGTCTGGGTATTAAACTGTCCTCCTTCTGTTTCCTCTTACCCATCTCCTCATTCCTGTCTTACTCTTTCTTTGCCACTCTATCCCAACCTCGATATCACAGCTTCAACAACAAGATATTTGGAGCTCTTCAATTCCTCTCAGTATTTGCCGTTCATCCTCAATTGCTTGAATTGCTTCGGATATCCCGGTCCAACTAGCTTTAGGCCCTGTGCTCGTTAGCTCGCGCTGTGAAAGTAAGTGGTGGACAGGGTTGCTTTGCAGAGACTGGACCCCAACAGCTTCAAATTGTTTTCTTTTATCCGGGACAGACAATTCCTCCCCTCGGAAGCTACACCAATATTTGCTTAGGATCCCTACTAAGCTGAGACTGGTCGAGACTGTGTGAGTATAGTAGCACTGCATTGTCCAAATATCGAGACTTGCAGGTTTCAGCTCACTTCAGCTGAACCCGAGCCTCGTTCATAAACCATTGCTGCCCTTCACCATTACCTCGATATCTGTTCCTAACAACCAAAACAGTCAGTTATACAGTCCCTTACCTTCAAAATGGCCGACGATGGTCCTCCTCTTATTCGTCCCGTCCCTCGAAGACCCTTCGATCTCAGCTCGACGACTCCTACACCACCAAGCGAGAACTCGTCCCCTTTAACTCCAGCGCCTGTTCCAGATCCCAACATTGCGCGCTTCTTACAACCGACTCCCGAGCCTGCGAGCGCAGGTCTTAGCAGGCCTCAGTCATTCATGAATTTGACATCCTCGACGCTCTTCGGAATCTACTCCCCCACGACGTCCTCTTCGCGCGACCGTGTCTTTGCCGATCGCGATGAACTCGATACACCCTGGGGAACTGGCGCTCAGACACCCATTCAGAGACCTAGCATTGACGACGCTACGTTTGATTTCCTGAAGGATCGATCACACCATATTCGTCGTCGGTCCTCGATTCGAGCTCACGAACCCGCTGGACCTCTAAAGCATTCTCCATCTGGTGGTGCTCTGGTATTAAGAGGACTTTTGCTTTTCGTTCTCGGCGTGGGATATGGCGTATTAGTCACATCGCGCTTCCACGAGTCGGACAATCTTCCGTCTCGTGCTACATACAACTGGGGCCATTTGACGTTTTGGGGTCTTGCTGGCGTTGCACTGGGCGCGCTGTTCCCATGGTTCGATCGAGTATGGGAGAATTCGTTCGGCGACAGTGGGGATGAAGCTGTTTTAGAAAACAGTGCTTCGGCGAAAGATGACGACCCAAGCACTGATTGGGCGCTTGCTGTCCGGGCTATCGGTGCCTTTGTCGGAATTGTCTTTGCGATTGTAAGTCAGCCAACGACAAAACCATTGTTCCATAGGACTAACATCCTGCAGCGCAAAGTGGCCTGGGCGTCCACCCTTCAGGTGTCACTGACCTTGGCACTTGTCAATCCCCTCCTGTGGTGGCTTATCGACCGCTCCAAGCCTGGTTTTCTGCTCTCAGCTGCGGTTGGGCTCGCAGGGTCGGTTGTGCTCCTCGGCGTGAACCCAGATATGATGCCGGCGCCTACTCAGGTTCCGTTCAGGCATTTGGTTAATGCCACAATGGCAGGCGATGGGGATATGCCCATTCTCGGTGGACTCGCCCAGCAGAAGACGCTTGAGACGGGCATGTGGATGCTGAGTGTGCTTTTCTGCAGCTGTGTCTGCTTTGGAAACATTGGCCGTCGACTTACTCTCGGGCCATCGACAACAGCCAAGGGACGCTGGGCTGGAGTGAGATGATGACGAGCGAGAAGCTGATCTGATGTTCAATCAGCCGCATTGGTCTTTTCACATTCTGTAGCATGATGTGTCTATGATATCCTTTTCGTTTGGGCGACAATCATGGGGAGGTATATACATGGGCGGGATTATTGGACAATGGGAACGGGAGGCATGTGTATAGTTATCGAGATTGGATAAAGGGCATTTTGCAGATCATAAGGGATGATATGATGCTTAGTTTACCGATATGGTCTGTTTATGACGACAACTATCCTGCTCTTCTGTTCTCCTGAAAGGAAGAGCATGAATAGGCTAGGCTTAAATGGCTAAGGAATGATAATGCCATTTCATTCTACGTTTCAATTACCCAAAGGGAAACTCACGAATCTGTCACGATATGTTGTTACTTTTTTATCGTTCAGATGCCTAGGCTGTAGATCCAATCTGCTGAACTAGCCATCTCATACTATCGAGTTGAACCTCCATTGGCCCAGCAAAGAATGAACCCCAATTGTAAACTTTTGCTTGTTCTTGTTCTCTCTGTATTTTCTTCTTCGAGCTCTGGATTCTTTCCCAATGTCAAACCAAAATATGTTCGCAGGGTTACTCCATCATGGATCAACCCTGTAACGACCGACGATCATCGCGTGACGCACGCTCTACAACGTCATTCGTGTATCAGGTCCAGAGTAGATCAGATCTAGTTTGTGCTCTTGATCGCCTCCTTGACGGCTGCTGATTTTTCTTGGATAGCGGAGCCAAAGTCGACGTTGGAGAGGCCGAGCATGACGAGCATACGAGGATTTTGAATCATCTCGTTGATTGTGATGGTACGTGTGCAAACGTCGGTGTAGGAAGCGAGGGCAGCTTCAGAGCCAGAAGCGACTGTTACAAAGAAGATAGTGTAAGCAGCCCAGGTACACTCTTCCATAGGGGTTAGCGTGGGATAGCTCCTGCTACTTACCACCTTCGTTCTTGGGGATTTGTTCAGGATGCTGGACTTTTCGACCAGCAGCAATGTTGTCAAGCTCGGTCATGATATAGTGAGATCTCTTGACAAAGTCCCAGACATGGAAGAGACCACGGTCAACATTGGGGGGAGTCCATTGAGAATGAGACTCGATGGCTGTGACGAGGTCTTCCAAGCGGGCGGTGATGTTCTCTCGTTGCTCTGCCGTGGGGAGCTGAGAGATGGTGTTGGAAGCCATGATGAGTTTGTGAGTATGTACGTGATGTTGATAAAGATAGGATCAGCTTGAAGTTTAGAAAAAGAAGAGAAGATTAATAAAGAAGAGAGGGTCAAGGGAAGAATAAACAGAAAAAGAGGAGAAAGAAAAGAGAAACCAGAAACCAAAAACCAAAACGTTGCATCAACGTCAGAAAAAGCACCTCAGCTTCCCCGCTGCATCAAGTGTCGTCTGTCCAATTGCCTCTTTACTCAGAGCAAAGCAAAAAGCTCCATTTCCTCTCTAAACCGTCCCTAGTACGTCAGGGGCCCCTTGTGGCTTTTCCCGTATCTCTCGTTATATACGTTACCGCCTGCAAGGGCTGAAGTCTTGGGCGTCTAGGCCATTGATCGGTCGGAGTAACATCGATACTACTTGAGCTCAAAACGCTTGAGCTTGGATGAGTGGGATAAGCCCTAGTAGACTTTCACGGTTCCTCTCAGCTTGTTCGGGGACGAGAAGCCATCATGAGCAGGGGAGCTACCTATACGAAAGGACGGGACGTTGAGCTTATGCACAGACAAACCGTTTCTAACAAGCTCAAGGGAACGGGAATGACATGTGACGATGGAGTCGGTAGACGGAGGAAGCCGTTGGTGAATAACAGAATTGTCTACTAGAGATAGATAGAAATCAAGGTGACGTTAAAAGTATTAATCGTATTTACTAAGAGAATAATGCTCATAGGCAGAGATATTCCTGAGGGAGGATCCGATCAGATCAGATCAGAGAGAGCTTAGTTCAGCTAATGTGGGGAGGGAGGTTGAATTCAGGGTCCTAAGTTAATTAGAGCTTGAGGTTTGAGGTTCGAAATGGGGCTCTTTTGTTAGTTATCGGGTTGTAGAGAATCAACCAACATATGGAAATAGAAAAAGGTCGTGTGATGAATTACCTTTCTTGGCAGTCATTCTCACACATGATCAGTCTTGATGACCAGTTCAGCCTAAGGAGAGAAGTTGTATTTACTAAGCGGAAGAATCAATGTCACTCGTCATCCATAACTCGGCATCGCCAAGGGACGGGCTCTCAACAGCGACAACAGAGCAAAGTCAGTCCTGATTCGGGCACCAAGAAATCGGAGATGGTCTAGAACAATTGGAACATTTCTTGCGAATGCGAACTGATCTAACTAATTTCGAAGGGAACAACACTATAAGTAAGCGTCATCCAAAGAAGGGTCCTGGGGTACGGTTCCCTAGCTCATGACGAGAAAAAAAGGGCATTCCAGAGAACAGGTACAACAAGTCATGACAGTCTGCTAGAGTTTGATCAAGTCTGGGCGGCTAATCAGCCAACAGAGATGTTGCTTGCCTCTCATAATCGTCGGAATGGAAATCCGTGGCACACTTTACTCGGAAGCACGTTTTCAACTCGTGTACCGTACCTGTACCATGCGTACTGTGTGCTGTGCAGCCCCGGAAAGCTGGAAACGTTGTGTGCCTTGACAGGCTGCAGCAGAGAACGAGAACTGCTGCTTGTCTCGCTGTAACAGGATAATCGTTGCAAGGGAGGCTGAAAGGTTGAGGGAAAGGATTGGCCGCATCTCGATCCGGGCCGCCACACCCTCGAGACTATTGGATGACAAGTGCAAGGCTTGAGAGAAACGATGATGCGTAGATTGGCCCGACCCAACGCTCGCTCTGAACTGTTAGTGTTGATTGCCGAGAGTAGAGACTGAGATCTATGATTGAACAGTACCCAACTCTCCCGTGTCTGAAGGAGACCACATTGCTAACTGACAATAGAAATGTAGATCAAATCTTTTTTTGCCTTCCAAAGATTAGTTATTCAACAAGGCAAATACACATAGAAAAAGAGATCGTTGGCATCATGACCACAGCCCATCATGGATCCTCCCTCTGCGGGACCCCCCAGTCTCATATGACGCCAACGACTTTCTTTTTTGAGCCTCTTTCAAGTCTAGCAAGTCAAGACACCCGTGACACTGACACTGACCCTAGAACCTGGACTAACTACTTGTACTAAGCTGGAGTTTCTTAGCTCTTACTGTGTATACGCCAGCCCTGCCAGGACCTTGGACCTGTCTCTCTTCTCTGTGTCCCCCTCCCAATTATGTCTGCCCAATCGCGAGGCTCTCACTTAGACGCAAAGCTCCATTTTGTCTCGGAAGCTGCCAGCCCGTTTTTATTGTTAATGTCGGGTTTCCCTCTCAACTATTAAGTAGCGTCGATGCGCCAGTTGATTCACCCGATGGCCGTTGCAGCTGCGGCGTTGTCTCGATCGTCTTCGTCAACCAGAATCTCTTTTGCTTCAAGAGAGAAGCGACAACGACAACGACAACGACACCCCTTTTTGCGATAACCCCCGACTCGCGCGCGCGCGCTGTATTGTATTCCGTTTCCCGCGGACGAAAAGAGGAGATTGTCCTGTACTGTACATACACACACAAACAAGAGCAAAGATCGGCGACAGATGCGAAACTGGGGTCCCTCTCTCTCTCTCTTCTGCCACGGGGACAAAGAGGTCTTGATCGAGTACCGTCTACATCTACATCTACAATGCTACACTCCCATCTTCCACTGAGAACCCTGCCCTGCATCGCGATCTGTGATACTGGTCTCCATGGTAATTGGCCATGCTTGCGCTTCTGGAGGGCAACTCTCAACTACTTTTCGGTTATCTTATGCTGTGAAGAAGAGGGTACTGTAAGTTTTCCTTTGTCTGTCTTGTCGTGTCTCAATTCTCTCAGCTCAATCGAGGTCCCCCATTCCAAATCTTGAATCTGAACGGTTTTCTTGGCCCCATTGAGCTGGGATGTTTTTATTTTAGGTCCATCCTCCCATGCATCCCCGGTTTGCGGCACCAACGCACCACAAAACAGCACTGCATGAGCACAGCACAACACAGCAAAAGCAGGTAATTAACATGCTCCCGATCATCGAAACTGAATGAGGGGGTTTATTAGGGGGTTTAGGTTCCGGTTGCTGCTGTATGTAATGGCGACTAAAGTCTATATATCCTGTGCTTCAAATAGATTACCATTCGACATTCGACAGCGCTTGGTGTTTTTACCCCGAATGTTCCACGGTGTTTCGGCCTCCACGTCATTGAGTCCATGACCCCCGGCCTGCCATCGTCATCCGTTTTTGCCCTGTAAGATAGACACAGGTTGATATGTACTGTTGTGTGACTCTAAAGCTTCAGGGCACGAGTTCTTGTGACTACTTGGCTGGCTTCATTCCTCTGTGTCTAGACCACCTGAGCACAGTATTTCCATGACCGTTTGAACCCTGAGATGAGTTTACACTGGAGGCGTCTAAAAACTCGTGATATACGCAGGGTCCTCTCAGGTTTTCTAGGGGACCCTCTTCTGTCCAAGGTAGTTAGCAGGTTACTAGGTGCTTACTAGGAACTGCCTAGTGCTAAAGTTGGGAAAAGTCTACAGCATTTCCCAGTTGTCAATCAGTGTCCATCCTGCCCATCCTAGCCTGTTCCGAAGTACTGTATACCTGCCAGAGACTAGAGCCTCTCCACCAAGTTTCTCGATAGATTTTGTATAGAGACAAGACAAGTAACAACGGCCTCCCTCCCGTGCCCGATCTCTCTTCTCTTCCCTTCTGATTTGGCTTGGCTTGGCTTCGTTTGGCTTGGTTTAGTCTAGTCTCGACTCGCCTCGCCTTGTGTCTAGTTGCTTCTATTCTTCATCTTATTGAAACCGTGACGCCTATGATTTTGTCCTCTTCCCTTATCTTCAAACATGTCTCCCTCGTCTTCACTTATTTCACAGCGGACATGAACAACTTGAGCTGAACTGCCAAGTTCTTCTTGTTCCCCATTTGGGAGCTCGTGTGTGTCTCTCTCTCTATCGTACAGAGGTTAGTCCTTTTACATCGACACCCCCGAGCTAGACTCTTGTCTCTCCGCGTGCCTCTAGAATTGTCCCCGGATCGGTAAGTCTCTCTGGTGTATGACGATCTCTATATTTTGCTGCACCTCATCTTCAACAACTCTTTATCCTTGTCGACGTATTTATTCTATTTTGGCACTACGGCCTGAAATAGAAGACCCCGTCTTTCTGCTTTCCCCTTTTCTTTCCATTTCTCTCTCTCTTATTTAGCAAGCAGCCCCCTCCTTGGTCCTACGATAGTCCCCTTCTCATAGTCTACACTATACTACACTACACAGTACAGTACATACATATTCACAGGCTGAGACTCCGGAGCCAGCCC